TGAAAATTTCAAAATTATTATGTAATGTGTAATGATTATTATAATTTTTAATATTATATAAATTTGGAATTTTATAATTGATGAAATTTTTTCAATAAATGATTTTTCGTATTAATTTAATTTTGTTCTAGGAAAAAATATTAGAATATTTGACAGTAATATTATGAAATTGTACTACATTAATTAATTTTCTCAAACCACAAATTACGAGAACTTCCGTCGTTGGTATTTCTAACCCCAATTCTTGTATAGCCATTCCGAATAAATTAATTGAATTGCCAAAATAAAACTTCTAATTTTCCAAATTTTTTCCATTAAATGCTAATCAAATCTCAACATTTTAGTGTTCTTTTGTTAAAAAAATCAGTAGCTTGAATTTAAAATGGTTCCTGAATTTCCTTTTATAACTTACGACCCTAAAAAATGTTAAACAGTATCAATTTAATTTCGATTATTTAAACCAGATATAAAAGTTTAATCGAATTAGTTGGTTCATGTATTGAACGACTTTGAATTATTTGGTTTTTAATAACTTATTTAAGTTCTCCGTTACTTTGTTAATTTTTTAAATTCTTTAAATTGCAATTAAAATTTCACAATTTCATTATTTTTTAATGTGTTTTTGTCGTTCTCGTACTCCTTCCATATTTTTTGCATTATCCTTGCTCTTCCTTATGAATTTTTTCATTGTCCTTATGTATATATGTATAGAAGTAAGTAAGTGTACATGTATATAGCAAATTAAAATGATTTTAATTCCTTTTTAATATCCGGTTCATCTGGAATTGACAAGAGTTCTTTTTTATTCATAATATATACATTATAGTATATATGCTTTAGCGTTTTGTATGTATTTTTCTAACACCATGTCAACAGCAGGCGAATGATAAAAGAAAAATTATTGATTCTAAATTAAACGATTTTTTTTCTTGTAGATTATTTTAGTCCTAAATACACACTTATTTTTTTTGCAATGCGTGTAATTTTTAACATGACTTTGATATTCCGTTTGAGTAAACACAATTTTATTTATTTGTACGTCGTAAGTATGTACTTTTTATAGAAAATTATCAATTATAGGAAAAAATTTTGTAGAAAAAAATATGCGTCTACATTGTGAGTTTTTCTCGATGGCTTTTTCACATTTTTTGAATTTTTTCTTATTCGTATTGGATTGAAACTAGAAATAGAAGAAATGCTATTTAAGGCAGTCCAGAAAAAAATAATCAGAATTAAAGATTTTTTTACACGACAACAACAGCTGTAATTAATTTTAGATAATTACAAAATTTTTTTATTTTACAAATCAAGTTGTAGTTTTAGGCGATGATAGAATTCTAAAGAAAAATATTGCTAATTACAGTATTTTAATTGAATTTACATGAAAGATTTAAGATTTATACCGATATTCAAAAACAAAGCACCTATTCCAAATTACTACACGATAACGGTGCTTAAACTACCAATGATTATTGAATATTAAATCTGTATAATTGCCACAACGCTCCTCTCTTTCCACAATTAAAAAAAAATCTGCCTATTTTTCCTTCTTAAATATTATTTTTCATAGACAATTCGAGAAAATATGAAAAAAAAAAACATTTTCTCATTATTAAATTAAAAAAAAAGTGGCCTACTTTTTTACAAGGTCTTCTTCAAGTTTTTTTTTCATTTTTAAAATAAAATATTAAAATAAATTTTTCATGACTTTATTTTTATATTTTAAGGCGGCTCTATATTTAACTCACTGTTCTTGGTTGTTACAGCAATAACGGAAATAGATTCTATTTTGAATATCAATCGTTCGATATTATTATTTGCGCAAGGTTATTAAAAATAGAATAAAAAAAAAATTACAATGTTCGTCAGTATTCTAGAAAATTTAATAGGATTAAGAAATTATACATAAATTTACATGCATTATATCGCGATTTAAAACGACAGCGAATAGAAATTTTTGGCTGAAGAGTAAATAAACTTGTTAAGCATAAGGTAGGAAGACAAGAATCTGGTATCTATTATTTTATTATAGGGTTTCATGCATTTCTTACCCGATCATCAGACTAATTTGTTTCAATTAATTTTAGCCAATCTTAAATATCCCATACAGTTTTAAGTCGAATATAAATTAAGAATTCATTTGATAAGTTCCATTATTGTATTTTTACAAATGTAGTTCCGAATTAACATTCTGGTTTATTCAAACCCGTTTTAATTTATTATTGTATATTTTAAAAATTGCTATACTGCTAGAAGAGCTTAAATTATTAATTAAAATATAATGTTATAAAAATAAATCAACACTATAGTAAATTACACGTAATTAATCATTTAACAACTACTATAAAATCTTTATATTAAAGGAATATTTTTACTTTGTTTTACAATAAAAAAGAATTCAAAAGGGTAAAAAAATTTTTAATTATTCAATTAGCTTCCAAAATGCATCAGTTACTCTCACTCTTTGTCTCTTTCTCTCCTCTCCCTCTCTCTCACTCTTTTTACCATAATTTTACTTTCTGCAATAGTATTTTTTAATTGAAATTTAAAAATTTACCACTGCATACCACTTTTTATTATAATCTCATATGTTTTATTTAAGTGGTAACATTAAAATTCTTTTTTATAGTACCTTGTACATACTTATGAAATTTTATGTTTTTCTCTATTAATTTATCAATTTTTTTTCTTTCTTCTTTGAGTTGAGGTCTGAGTTATTCTATACCAAATATATAATGTTAAATTTTAACATTTTTGTAAAGAAAAAGAAATATTGCTTTTGGGGTTTCGATCTTCAATAAATTTTATATTAGTGAAAAATTAAAGAAAAAAAATGTTAAAAATTCATTGATATTCGATTTATTAAAAAAAAATAAAAACGAGCAGAATTTATCATGGCAGTAACTACTAGTTACATAAGGTGGTAGTAAAGATTTACAATAAGCATAAAAAACAGAAGTAAGTGATGACGAACGTATATAAATTTGTGCAATATTTTCGCTCTTGCATTTACTTAAGAAAATAAATAATGATTTTTCACTTAAACATATAAAGCTTAACAAAATACTTTGTGCAAGGGCTAAAATTAAAGCACAAGGGGATTCAGATGAAATTTCCTTTTCTATTTTAAAAAATTTCGATTGTTATCAAAAAAAGATCGAATAAACCAAAACCTCACGTCTATTTTAAATGAGTCTGGCATTATATTATTTCTATAAAAAATTGCATATTATTAGGCGTTGGTAGAATTTTACAAAGTAAATTATAAGTATTTAATGTAAATAAATTAAAATATAATAGTCGAGTCAGCAACAGCAAACAAAGCCATTGTTTGAATGTAATTCAAAAGTTTTAATAAAAACATACTGAAACTTGAATTTAAATGCAGAATCCTAGAAATTCAATGATAATTTGCGTTCAGTACTAATTAACACTCAGTAGGTAGTCAGTAAAATAAAATTGTTCTTAAATATAAAAAATAATTTGTAAAGTGATAAGACTGAAGTAGGAGTCAACATAGCACCGGCACAAATATAATACGATACATTGGCTTAAGATCATCTATGAGTGTTGCATTTACTTAACTTACGTTCCTTGATAATAGAGCTGGTAAGGAAATCTCCTCTGAGCAATTAAATGTTGAGTTCTCCTTGTACAAAAAACACCCCGTCAGAATTTATAACTATCTTTATTTCATACTGAAATGCATTTTTAATATTTTTCTTTACTGATATTTCAGAGTTACTTTATCATCATAACCCTTTTATTATATTTTATTTAATGATTTTTTTTTTTAAATTTTATGCATAAATAAAAATGTTATATATGACTTTCATTTTATTCAACATAATATTTACCTACACCTTACCAAACTATAATAAAAATTTTTATGCAATTCAAAAAAAAAGGAATAAGAAAGTAAAAATATAATATTAAAGTAACGTTAATCTTCTTTAGAAAAAAAATCACTTTTTCATAAAATGTTCAGTATGCTAAGAAAGAGAAGAACCCCTATGTAATAATTGAAGCTCCCAATTGATTCAAACTGAAGAAATGTAATAAATTTTGGATTATTGTGAACATGAAGAGGAGTCGAGTATGATTTTTTATATTTTTATAACATATTGTAAATCATCTAAGGTTGTGTTGCTTATATGTATTTAGAATGTAAATGAAACTTATGTGAATGTGTACAGTAAGTAGGTGTAAATAGTATAACGTAGGTAGAAATATGGAATGCACTTTGTCAGTATAATATTATGTAATCATTATCTTGTTCAGGAAGGTATTTAAAAGAGAAGAATATAGTATTTTGAGAGAAAGTTTTAAAGAAAAATACGAAACACTTTATTATATATGGTAATGTGTACATTGGTTGGTAGGTTGATTGACAAATAGTGCCGTTTTGCTACCACCACCCCATGATTGTCATATCGTCATTGAACATACGATTACAGATGGTTTATATAAGCCAATCCGTTCTTTTGAGACATCCATTTAAATCTCCGATGCTAATCTTGGATATCTCGTCCAGTTCTATCACGCATGCCCTACCTCACACGACCAGTCTGTCCAGAGCCAAACACTCGCAGAGATGCAGAAATGGTCTCCTCCTTGTGTATTATCCGTCGGCTGCGAACTGTTGAAGGGCAATCCCAACATAGGTGCATGCTCGACAACAATGGATGTGCTGTGTAGACTGTCGTCCCTTGAAGACATCGCTAGGGCCCATTCGATTTCCTAAAGTTGTAGTTGGGTTACATATACACACGTGTGTGGTAAAATATATGCACATACTATAGTTAATTCATTAGAATTTTAAGAGTATCATTAGAAATTTTCCGAAAAAAATTAATAGAAATGAAAATTTCACATAAAAATCCTATAAAATTTAAACTGTTATATAAAATATAACAGTTGAAAGAAAAAGATAATGTTATTAGAGAAGAAAATTTTTGTCTGGAACTTTTCAAAATATTTTTGGTAATTTTTTTTTTTTGGGGAAAATTCATAGTTTTTTTAATCATTGTTCATTTTTACCTTAGGCAGCTCACATTTATGCTTTGTAATTATACGACGTATGTCCATCCAAAAAATTTACGTAAATGCTTACCTAAAAATAAACAAGAAAAATAAAATTAAATTACTTTATACACAAAATTTTATTATGTTTTTAAATAATTTTTTAGTATTTTAAGTAGAATTTGGACAATACTTTTAAGCATTCCTCAGCCTCCAAATTCTAACAAAATTAATTTTATCAAATCTAAGCTTAATTATTTTTACTTAAATATTGCAACTTAAAAACGGTTTAAAAACAATATAGAATTGAACGTTTCGTCAAAATTTCTACATAAATAATACGGAAGGCCTAAGCTAACACACAAAGAAGTGTTTTTAGCTTTCTTAAATTTCTAAAAGTTTTGAATTATTGAACTATAAACTCAATAAGAATAAAATAAGCGTGTAAATTCAATATTTTAAATTGTGAACGTTTGTAGTTTTTTGTTCTCAAGTAATGAAATGCTAAGATTTCTAACAGAATATAGATAAAAAAATTTCCTTTAAAATTTCTTAATTAAAAGCCTCTTTTAAAAGGAAAACCTTTACCACTTTAAAAACTTTTAAAGAAATTAAATTACCATATTTTAATTTTCTCTTTGATTTTATAAAACTCAATGGAAAGGAAATTCTTCTAATAGTAATAATAAAATGGTTTTCAAAGAATATTATAATTTAATGACCAAAAATTCAACGAACCGCTGTAACATAAATAAAAATTTTAATGGATAATTTAAAATTTAATAATCGTTACTAATCATAAAAAAAATGAAAGGAAAATTCTTATTTATTTCATTTAATAACATAAAATATTACTTTACAAAAAAACAAGCAAAGAAAATTTGAAAAAAAATTTCGTGCTACTTCAAATTTTATTACCAAAAAACCATAGCCGTACATTTCAAACAATCCCCAAAAAAAAAAACACTATTTTATCTTCATGAAAATTTAAAACACAACATCAATAAAACCATCATAAGAATCCTGTTGTAGAACAGGATTTTTTTTTTCATTTAATTCTTGTCAGAATAATGCCGAATATATCCTTGTATTATATAGTAATTCCAAAATAAATATGGATAAAATTAAAATGGCGGAAAATATAACATTATCTTATTAATTTTTTAAAATAGCACATAAGATCAGCTCAATTATTATTGTAAATTGAATTAAAAACTGTAAAATATAAAATCAATGCGAAATTTAAGTAAAGCTTGTAAAGTATAATTTTGAAATATTGGGCTTTCAAGCTATATAAATGAAAAAGGGCTGAATCTGAAATGAAAAAGGGCTGAATAAGTAATGGAAAATACCTCTTTGAATTAAAATTGAAGATTATATTATAGACTTCTAAGAAGAATGTTAGTGATTTTAAGCATTTCTTAAAGAAATGGAGTTGTCTTAATGACCTCTATCAATCCAGTACATAATGACAACGAAACTTCCTCATAATAATGGTAGACAAATTGTAAAATCATGATAATTGCACTCGTGTCGAACTCATTGTGCAACTAATCAACCACGAATTATAATATCTTAACAAATTTCAAAAACATTCAGGCTCCAATTTGTATTTACCGCAAATCTATTTTAGGAAAACGTTCAACCATTGGAATTTAATATATTTGCACTTAATTTTTGAATTATTCAAATTACAAAGATATAAAGAATCATACAAAAATTGGGAGAAGTAGGCCGTAACAATGTTTTAATTACGCAGTATAAACACAGATAAAATATTCTTACAACCTCACAAAATTTACACTTTTAGATTATGAACATAAGACGGAAATTAATTCGCACATAAATAAACAGCAAGTCTTACTTGTATTATAGCCAAGAATCACCCTATATAAAACGAATTCTTATTATAATTACACCACTCAAATATTCTTTTAGCAGCACGATAACATAAATGAACAATATAACAGTTTACTTATACAAATTTTTACATTAAAACTAATTATAATCTTCTGTAATGTGCTAATCGTATTTTTAAATGCACAGTTTTTTTTTTAATTTTGCTGTTAGTGTAACAATAAATGATAAGATTATGTAATTAAATTTCATTTGAAGAAGAAGAGGGAAAACAGAATATTTAACTTTAACAGTTAAATAAAGATATTACGAATAGTTACGGAAACAAAGTGTTAAAAAAAATTAAATGAGGAAAATAAAAAGAGAAAAATTTGTAACATGTTGAAATCATATTAAGTTAAATTTGAAATAATATTTCTTCGTACACAGTCTCTAAGGAATTGAGAAGATTAAAATGGCAGGAATGAATAAGATACTGAAAATTTTTTATAAATTAATATTACTTGTAGGTACCTACTTATATATACTCTGAAATTACAATATTGCCCATAACTATACGTATACTATGTTCATATCTTCTTGAAAAATTTATATTCTTTTTATGAGAAAAAACCATACGCTGCTAAGAGGGGAATTCCATTAAATAAAATTATAAGAATTGGACGATTTTTAGAAAAAACAATTCGAAGTCTTATAGCTCGAGAAGAAGAGGCCCAAAAAACAAAACATCACTTTGCTTTTTTTGGTTTATCTGAAGGCATGCTACCACCCTTCTTCGGTCCATCAGCTCTGGACTGCTGATTCTATATAAAAACAAGTCAAAGAAAATATATTCTTGGTTCTTGATCTTGTTGATTTTTTCCGTTGATTAATTTAGATACTAAAGAATACACCACCGTTATGAGTAGAGATAAAATTATGTTGGATATACATAATTATGTTGCACAGAAGTTAACTAATATTTTTAGTAAAAACAGTATGACCTAAGTAAATTTATAGGTTATATGTAGTCTGCTACATGAAATAACTTGTTTACATAAATATGACTTTCAGTAAACAGATTTTATAAGCTTTAAATACTACTACTCTCATCTATTAGTCAACTAAAGGGGCGGAAGAAGTATTTAAGTATTTAAAAAATCATACATATTTACTCTCAATAAATATTTTATTATATAAGTTTTGATTAAGCGCACTCATTCAATAAATAAAAGATGCAATGAGAACGAAATCTTCTTATCTGTCATATTTTCTCATATTTTGTTTTTTTATATTTATAAAGCAATTACACTCTTTGTTGCATTTTAAACTTATTAAAACTCTCTTAATTTGAGAGATTATTTTTATTTTATTAAAAATATTATTATATTGTGATAAAATTGTTATACAGTATAACAATAATAAATTTAAAACAAATGTTTATTTATTCTTTCGACATATTAAGTATTTGTTTGTTTTTTCTCCTAATTTATGGCTTTATAACTCTTTATTTTATTATTAAATATAAATTCTTAAAATAGTTTTACTATTTTTCAATTTTAACTTTAAAATATCTAAAAATAAATTATTATTTAGTTATTATTCTCATCTTATCTTGAATATTTGTGTTATACATGTATAACTATATAATAAAATAATTTAAAACAAATTTAATTTAATAATCCTTTTATAATATTAAAAATATTATTTTTGTTTTCCTCCTTCTATATTCTAAAGAATGATTTGAATTGAAGATTATTTTTAGCACTTTTTAAAAAAATTTGTTATTGTATAATTAATGTTACTCTGATCGTCTTTCTGGGTTTCTGTTCACAAAACTTTTATACACTGTAATATATCCAAATATTTTATACACAAATAAATATTTACTATAGCGACTTATTTTTGTAAAAGAAATTTTTACCCATAACTTATCTCCCCCCCTCTCTAAAATTTATAGCCCCTTAAAGTCACAAAAATACAATTTTTTGACTATTTATTCTATCGGAACTACAAACATTTCACACACTAACAAATAATTCATTTTTTTAAACAAAAAATTTTTTTCTACCTCCAGCCCCATAAACATTATCGCCTCTTAAATTTTGTAAAATTTGAATTTTCGGGGCCTTATATTCGAAAATACAATCATTTTTAAATTTCTATTAAAGCAACAAAATTCTTGCTATGTACAGTATGGATAGTACATCAAAAAGTGTACTTATTCATCTTAAAATAATTTATTTCACTGCGAATTCAAACCATTTTTTGTCTTTCATCCTAAATGTATGCAAAATCAATTTAAATATGTAGCTAGTAAGCTGTTTTTCACTTATTCAAGGGAGAAGTGCTGCTTTACAAGCCATTAATTTGATTCAAATTTATTTAAAGTAAAATTCAATATACACACACATACTTGTACATTAAAATTGTATATGATAAAAGAAATTTCCTTTAAAAAAAAATTAATTTCTTAAAGTTATTTTTCAGGATCTTTTTATTTTCTTCCCTTATTTTTTGCTCCTGTTTCATTTTTAAAAATATTTTTTTTATTTTATAATATTGAAATAAAAGTTAAAACTAGCCTCTAGTATATTTTATTTATTAAATTCAAATAATATCGAAAAGGAAAAAAACATTATTGTCATTTTTACCTTTTTCCTGAATTTCTCCGAAAATTTCAAATTTTAAAAAAGTGGGTATAACGAAAGCTCACAATATAGAAAGTACAATAAAATTTTTACGATTATCACAATAGTACGAACATTTCATGCAATAATATGATTGGAATACAAGAATTGTATAACAGTTTCAAAATATAGGTATATTAAAGGATGTTTCTAAAATTTTCTTTTTAACATCGACCCCATTTTCTTATATTATTACTTTTAGCTCTATATACCCATTTTAATAATAACATCATAAAATTATTAACTTTATTATTTTGAATTTAAAATAATACATTATAATATGTATAAGGAATAATAAAATTAGAAAATTTAAAAAAAAAAATTAATATAGGATGAAAATTTAAGGCTTTGGGCTCTAAACTCTAGGTACATTAAACTAGTGCTTTACACAGGTTTGACTGTTTTATATTTTAAATAATTTTATATTTTTATATTAAATTGCTTTACTACGATTATAAAGTTAAAAATAATATGTGAAAGCGGTCTAAAAAGGTTTCAATTTTGTTTTCTTTGTATTTTTTTTGATATTAAAGGTGTGTATTTTTCGTGCCCAAAAATTATTTGA